TTAAAAAGCAACATAATTCAAAAAATTAAAAAAATCATACCAGTTCATCATTGGGTCTTGGTTCATGAGCTAACAGTGGTTTGTGCGTCTTGATTAAATTGATACGTTGCAGTAATACATTAAACCATGTGCATGGTCGTTCATCAAAAGACTTTATTATGCACTTGTTATCATCGAAGCATAAAAGGAAGTCGCCAAACGAAGTGAGTTTTTTAATCTCAAAGTTGAAGTCTTTCGTCCTGGCTAGATACATGCATACATTATGTAACAGCAAATGAGCATAATAGCTTACCTAATTTACTAAAACCTGTATCTGTAGCTAATCCTATGCCCGTTTCAAGATTATCACATCTTACTATAAACATTTCCAGCTTGCCGACATCAGTCATTAGTCGAAAATATGAATTTTCATCCAGGCCAATGTGGACAACCTTGAATGCTGGATCTTGTCCGAACTCTTCTTTTACCATTGTGAATCTAATGTGAAAAAGAAAAAACAATGAAATTCAAGACGCTAGTAATCATGATGAATGTTGAGGCACAGTTTCCATATGACACAATTATTCACTTTTTAAAAACTAGCACTCAAGCCCCTCCTTTCATATGTAAAGCTAAAAGAGCCTTAGCTGCAGGCCTTTTTGCAACAGAATTATGGCATCTAACTGCACACAAGTCATTAACAACTAACAGAAGAAAAAAACATAGAACAGCTAAAAAAAACCAGTTAGTTTTCAGGTTCCAGATTCACCTTCTACCCTACATGTAGTCATGGTTTTCATCATCGCAATGCTTTCATGACTCATATTCCCTCTTAAAAAGAGGCTTCTAGAACTGCATTCTTCTGAGTCAGGCAGCAGCAGTAGCAGCAGCAACAGTGTTCATGTAGCAAAGAAAAGAGCAGTACAAAAGAAAACTGTTCAGAAATGGGTGTCGCTCTATGATAAGGAATTGAACACATCAGTATGGCTGAAATATGACACGGTCTATCGTGTTCACGTATCTAAACTTCGCTGCTCAGTTTGCTCTCAGTTTAGACCTAAGCTAGAGTCGATGAGAAACTTCAGACCAGCTTTTGTTGATGGCACAAGCAACATGCGTCTTTCTACTGTCAAGGACCACACAGCTACTGATATGCATGCTCAAGTGATGAATTTATATAAGAAGCAGCAGTCAACCAGTGTCTTTACATACTCTCCAATCGCTGTATCATTAGCCCAGTCTTCTTTAGATGCCAGTACTAGAGCCAAGATTGAATGAAAATTTGATATTTCTTACATGATTGCCAAGGAAAAGCTAGCATTCACGAAAATGGCATCTATCTGTGAGTTAGAAGAAAGGCATGGCGTTGATTTGGGGGTGGGCTATAAAAATGATAGAGCCTGTACTACATTTACTGAGTTTATTGGTCGTGATCTACAACATGCATTACAATCAAAGCTTTTAAGTTGCCGGTTTTTTAGTGTTCAAGCAGATGCAACTACTGATACTGGCAATGCTGAAGTAGAATTGTTCTTGGCCCTCTATTTTGATCCCTATACAACAGATGGCACTGTTTATGTTGAAAATGTATTTCTGTCTGCTCGATATCTTGAAAGTGGAACGGGAGAGGGTCTATATGCAGCATTCAAAAGAGCAATGCAACACATGAATATTAGTGACTGGAAGATGAAAATGATTGGATTTGGGTGTGATGGAGCCAGTGCTAACATTGCTGAAGGCGGTTTATATGGTATTCTCAAGGAAGAAGTACCTTGGATTTTCATGTTCTGGTGTTTAGCACATCACCTCGAACTCTCAGTTAAAGATGCATTAGGCTCAACTTACTTTAAAACCATTCTAATGCGTCTCCATTATTATATAGGCGGTAGCCTATATGTAGGATTGAGGTTGATTTTTCAAGATGGCGGCCGTTTTTATGATTTTCAAACACTCATAACTCTTTTATCTTACGTTGTACAGCCTTATAAATGGCTTAGATGAGCTCTCCTTCACTGAGCGATTCTCCTGGTACCTTTAGAGTGGACTGTAATGTAGCGGGAGCATTTCTGGAGAATAGGCCCAAATTCAAATTTCTGCAAAATTCTTC